AGATAAAACCCACACCAAGACTAGATGACAAAATAAGGCAGAGTTTCTAATCCGTCCACCTTCATATCCAAATCATCTTAACAGATGAAGGAGTTGGGAAAGGCAGGATAAATTACACCAGAGAAAAGGTCTTTGATCTCTGCTCTAGCATTCTAACAAAGCATTTGACCTTTCTCTCTCTCTTTCTCATTAGGGAGACTGCACTCTGGATGGTTGCCTGCTTACTGGTTGTGTCTCTACCCAGAGGTAAATAAATTATAATACACACCTGGGAATTTGCAGAAGTATTTATATGTGAATACACAAACTGCCAACAGAATCTTGGAGCAAAACAAAACAAATGCATGCATTGCTTTGCATATACTTCATCACAGTCCAAGGTTTGCAAGGTCATCATCATCATAGGTCACAACCTTCAGATAAATCTCAGCACCCAAAAGAAGTGGTTTTCAAGTTTGTAGGTAAAAGTCTGTGGGTCTGACACACCTTAAGATTATCCTGCCATATCCTTAAAAGTACTCTACCATTTCCATAATATTAAACATGACTTGGAATCTCATCATTTACAGCCCCTAACTCCCTTGTATCTGGTTTTGTATTTAAACTCAATAAGATACCAAGCTCTCTGCAGGTATAACTAGGTAAGCAAAAGGACTGGAGCCCAGCAGCAAACTCTCCCTAAGTCTTTGCACGTGCTCTGCCAAGTTCTGGCAGAGTTGGGTTTCTGACATTATGAGGAATAGATATAATCTTCCCTAAGAAAGAGACACACTAGTATGTGCTGGGGAGAGAGTTTTATACCAGGTGCAGGGGTAACTCCCTGCCATTTCCTTATCTGAGGTTTAAATTCAGCAGTAGTAAGAGCTCTCTGTGTGGTCAAACTCCTGTTTGCTCAGAAGTGCCTCACACTTACCAGATGCTGCAGTGGTTGAGGAGGTTACACTTCACCTGGAACAAGTCTACCCCTTTCTTCTGGAAGCACAACTGACCTTTTTAGCAAAACCTCTCAAGAGTCTCCACAGAGAAGTGTGAAAACTCTATTGCCACTCAAGATGTGATCCTTTGGCAGCCAAGTGCACCTGAAAACACTACCTAAGTGACTGCCCTTTAACTCCTTCCCTGCCACCCTCACCCCCCCAAAAAAGCAAGGGAATTCAAGTTCAGTGTTTCTGAGCAAGAAACTGTGATTGCAAACAGCCCTCTACCCTCCTCAAAATACTTTTTCACACAGGCAAGATTTAAACCTATAAGGAATTGCACAACACTGCTATATCAGGGTAACACATTTTGATTTGAGCTCTTAAGGACTCAGAAACACAAGAAACTTTCTTTTGTTTCTAACACCAGAACATTTTTGCTTAACCCAGTACTTCCACCATTAAACTACTTTGTTTTTTAAATTCACTCTGATGATATTAATGCAGTTCTAACAACAGACACACTTCCCACTTCCAGGCTCTTTTCCTCGAGGCATAAGCTCCAGATCACCTACTAGCATCCCAGATTCCTCTGGTAGAAGCAATATACAACTAATAAAAAAAAAAATTATTAACTTAAATCACCTTCAGGGAGAAGGAGAGAGAAACAAAAAACCCCAGTCTTTGTGAGCTTCCCCATACCACACTTTAGATGCTGAAGCAGCAGTGTTTTCCTATCATAGGCATCTTACAGATTGGTTAAATTGGCACATTCAACTTCACCTTGATAGCTTTAAACATTTGGGCAATATTTAAAACACATAATTAAAAAAAAATAAACTCATCTCACTTAGCATTCGAGTCTTAAAACTGCAAGTGGAAGCTGTGTGCCAACATTCATTTGTTCCAACATAGAGACCTGCACCTTCTGCATGCAAAGCTTACCCAGTAGGTCAGATGAGTACTTCCCATCCTGCTTCATTCACTAGTCATCCAGCTGCCACCACCTCCACTGCACAGTTGCTTCAGACTTCTGGTCAGGAGGCTCCTACTTCCACATCAACAACCTCAGTGGGAAGATTAACACAACATCACCAGCCTTCAGCATGGCTTCATTCTTATTCTCAAAACTGGCTTCCACAAAGACACTTATTTGACTTGTACCCAGAAGTCTGTTCTCCCCATCAACAAAAGACCTTGTGCAGCTGTAGGCTCGTTAAGTAACTCATTACAGCAGATTTCAGTCACCTGCCTTTGTCCCAGCAAATTTCAGCAGTGCCTCCTTTTTTTGGCTCCCGCTGGCCTGGTTTTACCAGCTGAAAGCAGTGTAGGGCAGGGTAGGAATTTCAAGAGTCATCCTAAGTGTGACAGGGTTTGTACAGAGGAAAGGAATGGTTGTGCTAAGCTCATATGCTATGTACTGCTGTCCTCCAGCTTCAGAAAAAGAATAAAAAGCCAAAAAACAAGTAGATACACTTCCAAAACCAGTATGAGATTTAGAAGCATCCACAATCAGGAGACAGGATCCATGCTCTTTCTCCCTCTTTTACTCATTAAGAAAATGCTCATTGTCCATTTTTCTGAATAGAGCTACAAGTTCTGCCCATGTAAGGATTATCTTTTCTTCATCCACGTGCAACAACACACGTTGCAAGCACTCTCTCTCCTAATGACATCCTGTGGACAGGACTTTTCCCACCGGAAAGCTCTTGTGGAGGTTCACTTCTTCCATTGCTTCCAAGACACCTGCAGCAGCCCCAGGCACACTCATCTACTGTGGTTGTCTAACCATGTTCAGCCATAACCACAATCTGCTTTCAGACATGGCCTTGCCTCAGGGTGACTCTGCTGAGTGCAGCCTTACTGAGCTCCCCAGGCCCAAACAGCTCAGGGATGGGGCTCAGGCTTCTCCCTGCCCTCCCTCAGGTGGTGGTGGCCCCTCTAGGTGTGCTGGAGACAGCAAATGGCTCTACCTGGGCACGTCACTAATTGCAGGACACCTTGAGGACTGCAGGGTCATATGTGCTGTGGCAGTAAGGGTGGAGGCTGAGCTTTATTATAAATAAAATAAGACCCTTTGGGTATATTCTTGAAATTCGGGTTCCCCTTTGAGAGGCAAAATCTGGTCAGCATCTGATACATTCTGAAAATCACAGAATTACAGAATCACAGAATCAATTATGTTGGAACAGACCTCTGAGATCATTGGGTCCAACCTGTGACCAAACACCACCGTGTCAACCAGACCATGGCAGTCAGTGCCACAGGCAGTCTTTCCTTAAACTCCTCCGGGGATGGTGACTCCACCACCTCCATGGGCAGCCCATTCCAATATCTAACCACACTTCCTGTGGAGAATTTCTTCCTAATGTCCAACCTAAGCTTTCCCTGGCCCAGCTTAAGGCTGTGTCCTCTCATCCTGTCGCTGGTCGCCTGGGAGAAGAGACCGACCCCCACCTGGCTACACCCTCCTGTCAGGGAGTCATAGAGAGCAATAAGGTCACCCCTGAGCCTCATTTTCTCCAGACTAAACACCCTGAGCTCCTTCAGCTGCTCCTCATCAGATTTGTGCTCCAGACCCTCCCCCAGCTCCTTTGCCCTTCTCTGGAGTCACTCTGGCCCCTCAGTGTTGAGTACAGCTGGACAATCACTGCCCTGGTCCTGCTGGCCACACCATTCCTGGTACAGGCCAGGATGCCATTGGCCTTCTCAGCCACCTGGGCACACTGCTGGCTCATGTTCAGCCGCTGTGGATCAGCACCCCCAGGTCCTTTTCCAGTGGGACACTTTCCAGCCTGCAGCGCTGCGTGGGGTCATTGTGGCCAAAGTGTAGCCAAATGGTTGAGCTCTCCACACAATAACGGGATTCTCCTTCCACCAACAAGCAGAAATAGCACTGGGCATATGTGGGTTTTCCAGCTAGAACTCTACACTGTTGTGCAAAGCCGGGCTGGGATTTTCAGCTGAAAAATCTGAAAACCTAAGGAAAGCAGATGCTTGGTGATAGAGTTTTAATCAAAGACACTTAGTTGGCTCTGAGATTCAGCTTTCTGTATTACAGTTTTCCTTCTGCTTTTATGTCTGTCTGAATGGACACAGCGTGACACCAAAAAAGCCTCAAAACAGACACTGATTGATATGGAAACAGAGGCCTGAGCATGTGACAAGATGAGCCCTGGCTGATGAGCCAGTGGCTTCAAAGGGAAACTGGGACTCTCTTTGGTTTTTAGCCTAATATATGCAGAGAGCTGATGCAAGCCTAGAACACAGGAATGACCGCACTGCGACCAGGAATATTTATTTCAATATTGAGTCTAATTACTTACCCCTTATGCTTTACAGAACTTTGGCCATGAAAACAGATTGAGTTGTTTCACAGTGAATTTTAGCTTTTCTTCTTGGCACAATCACAGACTCACACTGCTTTTGTTCTACTCCCCACTGGGGATAACTTTTCCATCCAAGTTAATTCATCTGCATTTTAATTTATAAAATCATTTTATGAAACAGGTTTGGTCAAGAAGTTAATTTAAGCCCAAATTCTGTGCTGAAAACACCTAGCTGTCTATGCTTTATAAATATGTAGAAACCTTATTCCATAGCCCACTCTTCCCCCAAAAAATATAACACTAGAGTCTGGTAGGAATTGAGGCAGAATCACCCATTTGTACAAGTTTTAGTATGCTTTCAACTAACTTGGAAAAATTTATAATAATAATTGGCATCAGATTTATTAAATGAACAGTGTGTGTAAGTGCTGTGTAGGTGGCTGCCTGCCCTGCCTGTGGTCCTGTGTGTTCACCTGCAGGCCACCCTCATCCTGGCTCTTGCACGGGCTGGAATTGGTTGGTAAGGCTGGTAACATCTTTCCTCTTGTGTAGGAAACCTACAAAGTTTCCCCGAGGTCTTGGAAAAGTCATTTAGGCAAAGTGGAAATGACAGACCCTTCTTTCTGGGCTACTGGAGAATAATGCCAGAGTGTGAAACCACAGGACAGGTACAAGCAAGAGTACAACAAGCCAGATATGCAGAGAAAAGCCCTGTTCTGTCAGACCCCCTGCAAGATGCCACAGGAGAAGGGAGATGGGGGGATCTAGCACATTCTTTGCAAGTTGGGAGTCACAATCTGAAAGCCAAGCAATGGGAGTTGGGGGATACCAAACCCATCCAGGAGTTTTCTCCTGCTGGTCTAACACTCACTTTTCACACTTATCCTTTTATTTCAGCCAGACTTCCTACAAAAACAGAACTTTTTAAATCACGTGTGCCCACCTTCACTTCCTTGCATCCCCTTTTCCTCTTGTGAACTGACCTATTAAAGTCAAATCAGACACTTGATCTCAAGCCTAAGATCCCCAGAAGCTGGGAATAAAATCACCAGCTAAGGAGATGAGTTCAAGCAGAAACCACACTGCCAAAGTGAAGGCAACTTGCACATAGCAACATCTGTCCTGCTGCACAGCTGGCTGGGCACTCAATCCTGGCATGTACGACCTCCTGCCTGGCTGGGAGCAGAAGAAGTGGGAGGAAGAGTGGCAATAATGATGTCATGAAGCCAAATTATAGGAAAGCTGTTGTCCCTGTGTCTCTACACACTGATGTTGTTTTTTACTGTTGCCTGTTTTTTATTCCAGGTCAACCAGAAACATGCCGTGCATTTGTTGGAGAAACTGTTGTTTTGCCTTGCTCCACCACCCCTCCTGGAGAGCTGATCTTCTCCAAGTCAATGCTCTACTGGCAGATCGACCAGAAGATAGTGCACTTTTTTCAAAAAGGGCAGGATTCACTGGGGACCCAGGACAAACGTTTCCGTGGCAGAACCAGTCTTTTTTTGGACCAGATGAAGCACGGCAACCTTTCCTTAAAGATCTCCAACGTCCAGTTACAGGACAATGCTGAATATACCTGCATCTACAAACAGGATGCAGATCATCAAACAAAGAAATCTAATATTAAACTCAGTGTCTCAGGTAAGACTCTTTTTTAGTTTGGCCATATATGGCCATTGACTAGGATGACTTCAGATTTTGAAGCAATTTTTCACTCATTCTGTTCGTTCTGTTTCATTCTGTTCCTTGCTTTTGTGGGAAGAATATGTGAGAAAGAAAAGAAAAAGCCTCTTTGTCAAGGTTTAGCACAGCATATCCACAGAAGCAGCAGGACTCCTAAAGGCAAACCACCTGCCTCTTCCCCCTCCCTTTGTAGGACATTAGGAATTCTGAGGTCTCCCCAGATTTAAGCATTTGGTTGTTTGTGAATTTGTGCTGTCAAAGTCCAGGCCATAGACCCGTGCAGACAAAAGACAGCCAGTTGCTAGTTTCCTTTTCCCTTGCAGCTGGAAGATCTGGGTCTGGTGACAAGGCTGGACACATGCAACAAGAATTACTATTTTTCTTCTTTAGGAAAATGAGTGAGACCATAATACATGCTTGAATAATGCCAAACCACGGAGATAACTTTTGAACTACGTAAAAGCATGGCCACCAGAAGGATGGGGCACTGGGTTTGACCAGTTGACCCACAGGAAAAGAAAGTTAAAAAAAGGGGTATATACATCAAAACAAATCATATCTTTTTATGATGTCTTATTTGAATAAACCAGTTGGAAACTTTCATTATGGTCAATCATATACATTTAATTCTGCTTAAAATAGAAAAAAATTGTTTTCAAGTAATATAAACCCTTTAATGACTTTCTTTTAATGCACATCATTCTAAAGAAAAAAAGTGCTTTTAAAATGTAAAGTGAAACACTTTTGTTCAGGACATTTCACAGTGAAATATTTTGTAGTTTTCAAAATGAAAAAAAAAGTGTTTTGGAAATGCATAATCAAAATATTTCCATCATCTAATTTTTGGGAGCAGTAAGGTGTCTTTTACTCTGATTTAATTCTGTGATCATATTTAAACTTTCAGTTTGTTTGACAAATGTATTCTTACCCAGGAAAGAAACCCAAAACACTAGCCCTTAGATCAATTATCAGTACACTTTTTCTGTTCTAGGGTCAAACAATTAACTTTGATTCTTGGGGTTTTTTTTCCAGCCCCACCTAGGACTGAGGAGACACCTTTTCCTTCTGGTAAGGCAACACTCCTTAATTTACTAAGTCTCTGAGTGATTATCCAGTTCTCTATTTTGAATTTGCAAGATTGGTAAAATCTGCTAAATGGAGAAAGTCCAATAAACTCACAGAGCTTGTTCTCTCTTGCTAAGTCTGGCAAAATACAGCTGTCCCAGACAGGGAAAAATGTCTCCACCACTAAGACAGACCTAGACTGCAGGAAGAAGAGTCCTGAAGTGCTGACAGTCACTAATTCATAAAGCTACAATCACAGTATGGGCATCCAAAAAATCAGTAAAAACACAAGTAACATGGAAGGCACTCTGTTCTGGGAGTTAAGGGCTTTGTAAATTACCTTGGTATGAATGAATCCCAGAATCATCAGGGTTGGAAGAGACACTCGAGGTCATCCAGTGCCACTGTCACCCCAGCACCACCATAATCACCCCTAAACTCTGTCCCTGAATGCCACATCCAGATTCCTCTTGAACACTGCCAGAGATGGTGACTCTACCACCTCCCTGGGCAACCTTTTCCCATGTATAATCACTCTGTCAGTGACTTTTTTTTACCCATCTGATCTGAACCTCCCTTGGCACAACTCAAGACCATTTCCTCTCGTCCTTTCACTTGACATATGGCAGAAGAGACCAAGCCCCACCTCACTACAACCTCCTTTCAGGTAGTTGTAGAGTTGAGCTACCAGATCAAGAGATTTGAGGGGTCCTTTTGGTAATAAATATTCCAAAACCAGACGATTAATGACTCCACATAAGCTCTTCTGGGAAATTCAGGCAGATTTCATCCAAAGGCAATTCTGAAATATAGTGCAGATGCTCATATGTAGGTTTAACCATTACAGAGAGGTAACTACACCAAGGTCATTTGGAGTGAACACAATACAGAAGGGATGTCCAGCTTGTACATACCATCATCAGTAAGTTCTCCCTTAAAACCCTTCCTACAAGCCAAATTATTCTTATTAGCTCTACAAAATCTTAAATTGGTGTCAAACCTGTAACAATTCGTCATATAAAATCAATAGCTGCAATTTGTATCTCAGTGCAGGTGAAAGATACGATCCTTTACATATAACAATAATTATATCGCAGTTAAATTGATAAGTTCAGCCACAATATGACATTACAGACAGATTAGGCCACAATAAACTCAAACACAAACTAAGAAGAGAAATGTACCAGTGTTTTATCTCATGACCACACAGAAGAAAAAAAAAAAAACAAAAACAACAGTTTTGTGCTTCATGAGCAAAAAACAACTTGAAGAATTACAGGAAATATCCATTTTTAAGACCTAACTACTCTAACTGGTTTAAAGGTCTTTAAAAAACATGAAGTTAAATTTGAGGTGGTATTATGTGGCACAGCACCACATTACAACATTATAAAAGCAAACAGCTGTAATATCTCTTGCTGTTACTTCCCACAAAACAATAATGAATTATCAAGGGTCAAACTTTTTAATTAATAGCAATGGAAAATCCTGAAAACCAAAAGATAAGTAGACTGTATTTAAAGTGGTATATATGTTTGACTCAGCCAAAAGCTTCCTGAAAACTTTCCCTCGTTATAAACTATTTCCTATGAAAAAGTATTTTCACTGAGGAAAAAAAAATGTATTGGGACAAAGGGTGAGTGTTTCATTTCACTATAGGAGTACAAACTGAATTACACACTTTTGACACCTGATGGTTCTTGTACTGCTGGATTTCGAGGGACTTGGGGAGGAGGACAGAACAAAATCCTAACCCTCTAAATGTAATTTTTTGCAAAAGGGAAAAAATGTCTCCTGCTATCACCATCTTTTAAATAAAACCATCAGCCACATATCCCTTTTTTCTTTTTTTCTTTTTTTTTTTTTTTTTCCCCAGCAATTTCTTAAGAAAGGGAGGAGGAGAATCTGTTTTTTATTAGTTTTTATTTTGGAAAGGACTTAGAAAAGTTAAATGACCTGCTGAGAACAAAGGCATTATATGCAAATGGTTTTCACTAGTTCTCATAGACTCTTCACAGTCAACCAGAGCAGCAGATACTATATCTTTATATAAAACAGAAACAGCTTTGTTTCATTTGGCTACATTGATTGGCTTGATTGATTTGTTTTGCTTTGGCTACATTTCTGCTTTTTTGCTGGATTGATTATTTTTTCTAGTTATTTTAAAGAGCTGAATTGTATTGTCACTCTGCTTGTCTTGCGAGACTCCGTCTGGGTCAATAAAACTTGTTTAACATTTTTTCTGGGAAAAGTGAAATGGCCTTGGCATGGAAGAGGGCACAAGAGGCCAGGAGACTTGCTATAATCCTAATTTCAAAGTGTTACTGAAGACTAACTGATGTTTACTTGCTCTCTACACTTTAATATCACATACTTCTTCTAGGAAGAGGAGGGGGAAGCACCTCGACTAGTGATGAGTTAACTACAATGAGATACTGAAAGGTGATACCACAGTGATAGGAAGAGCCCTCAGGCTGTTTATATAAAAATCAATGTACAGCCTGATCTTCCAGGAAAAGGACTTGAACCTGAACACTTAAAGGAAAAATTTCTCTTCTGTTTAAGTCAGGAGTTCAAAATATTATTTTCCTGGTGTACCACACCCAGCACAGGCTGCAGGTAGCACCTGTGCCAAGGGTAATTTGTCCACTTGTGGGTTACATACAGATAGTGATACACAGTACTGCTACCACCTGAGCATCTGTAGCCTAGACTTTTTAACACTTATTACCATTATTTATGGACTCTTAATCACAGTGTCTACGTCAGAGCCCGAGAAGGAAGAATAGTAATGTATTTTTATCCTAGAATCATAGAACAGTTTGGGTTGGAAGGAATCTTTAGGATCATCTGGTTCCAACCCCCCTGCCTTGAGCAGGGACACCTCCCTGTAGGCAACTGGCTGGTTGTTGTTTTTCTATCAGGATTTTAAACAATTCTTAGTCATCCAGAAAATTCAGTTGCATTCATTGTTGCTGAGTTTCTGTACCTTTTCTATGATGGGGAAAAATTTATTTGTCACAGTACCTTGAGACTGGCTTTTCTGGATGGTGTGCACACACACAAAAGGGGAATTTTGAAAATGAACCAAAATCCACATCAGTTTACAAACACTCTTCCATCAATGCACTCATACAAAATGTATCACACAAACTTCAAATACACTTTTTGTCAAGTCACCACTTACATGCCAACTTTCTCTTTTTTAATTTTTCAGGACAGAGTCAGATTGCCTCCAGAAGCCCTCCTGAAACACCATGTCTGGCTGTGTTTTCCCTCTCTCTCCACCTCCTGGTCACACTGGGGGTTTGGCACTTGTAACCAGGGAAGCCAACCTTGTCTTTGGGAAGTTCTCCTCACCAGGGGACCTCACTGGGCAGAACAGGCCTGCAGGTTCCAGAGCCACGTGACAGAAACACCAGTCACTGAAAACAGACTGCGCACTGTGTGTTTATGTCCCACATTTGGTTCCAAAAAACCAAAGGCAGCAAAACTCTGAGGTGGTAAATCTGCTTTTTCATTTGGTTCTTGGAGTCCAGTTTTAGTGCTGCCAGTGTGAACATTTTAGTTTGTGGGTTTGCTTTAATGACAGGATAAAAGACTCACAAAACTACGGGGTCACATTATAACTGACCCCAGTGAATCATTTTGCTTAAGATCTCATCTGCTGTCCTTCAGAGACAGCTGAAAGGAGGAGCAGGAGTAATCACCGTCTGTGTCAGACAAAAACTGGAAGTTGCAAGGCCCTCCCATTTTGCGAAACATAAAAGAAGGAAACCTTGTGAAACTGCAGCCTGTGGAACTTTAGCTTCTGTTTTCACTCTTCAGCATCATGGGCCATCAGTAAGAACATTTTTTTTCCACAAGAAGCATAGTATTTATTCAGCAGAAGGGTGAAGCTGATTGAGAAAGAGGATGGAAGTTCATAAAACATCAACACAGAAGAAGGAAGTGATGTATTACTACAAAGTCCACTTCTAAATCAGCCAAAAAGCTTTAGAAGGCTGAATTCAGTATTTTCTCTTTTTGTCATGAAGCACTGCTCACAAATGTGAGCATCACGGAAAAGCTGGATACTTAAGCTAAAACTGTGCAATAAGAAATTGTTACTGTGACAATGTAATTTAGTTAAAAAGAGCACCTTTGGAGGGGGGGGGAAGTATTTAAAAACTCATCAGAATCATCGTAACTGACACCTATGCAAACTAAATAGGTTTATTTCTGGAAATGTTTGATTCAGGTAGCGTAGATGGTCCTGTGTAAAACTTAGGTTGGAAGGATCCTGCATACAAACGAAGTGCAGAAGTTTTATTTCAGGCCAGAACTGCAACTACCCTGTTTCACAGCCAAAAAGCACCCAGAGGACAGAACCACTCCCCTGGGCTGGTGATCAGCAGTGACTGCAACACTTCCCTCCTGGCTGAGCCCTCGAACAGGGGGAGTGATTCATAAGGACGTGCATGAAGTCATTTTGATTTGGAACAGTTGCACCTTTTTCTTTCAAAGGAAGGAGAGGAAGGGAATAGAATAAAATAGAACTTAAAATATTATCCATTGAGGTAAAGGAGATGGTCACCTTTGACTTTTTTAACAAAGGGCCCTTTCCCCATGGTGGGGAAGAGAGACAACATCCCACGCCCAGACTGTGCTGCTGCTGCAGTGAAGCTCAGCAGGTACTTGGCTACCCTGGGTACAGAGCAGCTCAGTGCAACAGCTGGGGTTCCCCTTCACAGAAGGATTTGAATGTAAGAATTGTACATACTGTGATTGTCTTTTTGTGTCCTACCCTCCAAACGTTTGTCTCAGATTTCATGTATTTTTCAAAACGAAATTTGATTAAAAATAAAAACCTAAACAAAACTAAAAACCCGAATGAGAGCAGTCCTTTGGTCTACAAGAGTTATTTCTTTGTATTCCAGCTGTTCCTACACTCAGCAAGGCTCCTCTGCAATCAGAAAGTCCAAAAGGTGATATCTGGTTAGATCTGTTGGTCCTAAAGTCTGAACTGCCTGCCCTCATCTCAGGGACCATATGACTTCTAAAAATCTATTAGCCACTCAAGCAGCCCTCCACTTTACAAAAGGTGTAGAATCACAGAATTGTTTAGGTTGGAAAAGATCTCTAAATGTCATCAAGTCCAACAATTAACCCAGCACTGCCAAGACCACCACTAAACCATGTCCCTAAGCGCCACATCTACAGATCTTTTAATTACCTGCAGGGATGGTGACTCCACCACTTCTCTGAGCAGTCTGTTCAAATGTCTGACTGCCTTTTCCATGAGGATTAATTCCTAATATCTACTCAAAACTGCACCTCTCCTGGTGCAACTTGAGGCCGTTTCCTCTCATCCTGTCACTTGTTACCTGGGAGCAGAGCCTGACCCCCACTTGGCTACAACCTCCTTTCAGGTGGTTGTGGAGAGCAGTAAGGTCTCCCCTGAGCTTCCTTTTCTCCAGGTTATCACCACCAGTTCCCCTCAACCATTCCTTATAAAACTTGTGCTCCAGATCCTTCACCAGCTCCATTGTTCTTCTCAAGGAAGGTTTGTTTTCTTCTAAAGGAAGGTCTGCTCTTCAGTGGAAGGCCTTTGGGGTGCTGGCCTCGAGGCAGTCCCCATGCCCCAAAGGATATGGGGCTGTGCTTGCCCTTGGTGGCCATGCACTGGACACAGCTGGGAATGGCAGTGGGATGAAATTACTGATGAGGTTATTCACATGCAAAGGAGCATCTTTTTTTTTTCTTTTATATTAATGAAAGAAATGATGAAAACCAATCCTCTCACAGACGCTCAGTGATTAATTGGTCTGCAAAACTGGTGCAGTGAGTGCAGAAAGCTGCCTGGTTACGTCTGCTCAGTTAAAGAATCTCAGCATTTTGATGCCAGCTGTGTGTGGAGAGACAAGCCCTCACATGGGTCCAGACATGGCTCTGATGGACCATCAGGCAGAGAGAGACTAAAGACAAATTCCTTGCCAGCAGTGCCCCCCATCCAGAGGGCTGGTAGGAAAATACAGTCTGTCAGGAGCAAGGACTTCACACCATATCTAATTTATCAGCTAAAGCCCATGTTTTGAGTTACACTTGAAACAAACGGGGAGCCAGTGCATTTTAAGACCACACTTCCCTCTTTGCAAAGGGCCCCACGAGACAAAGGGATGTTGAAAAAGCACACCCTGAAATAATTTGTTTTAGTTGTACTAATTGCATTCCCATACAGTGTTGTATCTAGCAAGGATCCAGACTGGAATTATAAAATTCTTTGATCACTGCACTGACTGCCACACCAAAAAAGGCAGGTCACATCTTTTAGCCATTGCAGATGGATATTTTTTCAGACACGGAGGTGTAACTTGGCCATCTTCTTCCTTTAACAATCTCTTCACCTCCTCTCCCCTCTCCTTTCCCTTTACCCTTTCCATTTTTCCTTAAACCTTTTCCCTTAACCTTTCTTTTCTAAACTATGGCCAGATCTTGGGTTTATATCTCATCTCAGGTGCCTTCCAGTCACACTGTACAGAAGCCATCTAAAACCTCTCTCTCCAATTCCTCCCCACACCAGTCATACAGCTCTGTCTTTCACCTCTTTTAGACTGACAGGCACTGTGCGAATGCTGATTTAGCCTTTAGTAATTACATACTAAGAACAGCATTTTTCTCCACTTTTACATGGCATCAAAAAGGTGTTTCCATAGTTTTTGAGGAAGGAAAGACCTTTGACAAGAGTCACAAATGAAAACTGCAACAAAATCGTTTAAATTCAACTAATAAATAGGCATTAAGCACATTTGCATGGGGGTTCACCTGTATTAATAGTCAAAGGTAAACGGTAAAAGACAATTTCTTGAATAAGGCCAATAGGTTCAGCTCCAAAAACACTTTACAGGACTCATATCATAAAGGTTACAGGTGGTAACAGGATTTTATTGCATTTTTCTCAATCTGTTTCAGAGCAGATGCTCACAAGCATTAACATGGGATGCACACGTAGCCAGGAACAGGGTGATGCAATCCCCACTTTAGCCTGAAGAAACAGAACTTGAAGCCTGGCAAAGTCACAAAGAACTTGAAGCCACAGAAAGTCACAAAGCTCTTGTGGTGTGGGGAGCCAGATGCATGATTATTATTATTATGGAAAAAATATAAAACTTTGCTGGAAACAGGAAACTGACTGATGCACAAAGATGGCCCCAAGAACATACTGAAAATTTTTCAGAACGTGATTTTTCTTTTTTTTTTTCTTCTGATAATGAATTTCTTTCACTTGAATTTTTAAGTTGGCATGAAAAAAAAAGAAAAAACCCAGAATATTCCCACATCTGTTTTTTAATAATTTTTTTCTCTCTTTTTTTTTTCCTCTAAATTACTTTTTTTGTTTCAGCCTTTGAGAAGAAAGGGCTATCATCAATGTCACATATCACTAAACATGATACCCTCACAGTATGGCACAAGAACACAGGCTGAGCAGTTCCTGTCTCCTGAAGAGCAAGACTTTTAAGAATGAGGATCTGAATTTTAAAAAGAGGAAGAGGAGGAGGAGAAGGAGGTGCATGGTATTTTCCAAATTATTACACTTCTGGACACCAATCCTTTTTGCCCTCCAAAAATTGCTCTGCTGTGCTTCTTGGCCAGAGATGGGAAGAGAAACTGAGCCAGGGCACAAGTGGTGACCTGGAGGTGCAAGAGCAGCAGGTAAGAACTGAGCTACAAGGGAACAGAGGAGCCCTGACAGGGGCTCTGCTCAGTGATACAGAGGACAGAAATAACACATTTATTTCATTGTTGTACCATCCATCTGTATGAGCACCTCCACTCAAAAGTGTGAGCTGTGTGACTGTAGAAGGGCCTGGATGCCCTCTACATGTTGTTTACAACTCTACTGTTTAGTACTCAGATTTGCAGCAGCACTTGGGATGTTTAAACATCCCTGTTTATTATATTTTCCCAGAGCTGTAGTTAAAGCCATTCCCAGGGATTATGTATGACAGTCTTTCAGATTTCCTGGGAGAAGTTTTGAATGACTGGCAGACCTTGACTTGTCCTTCCTTCTCTGGGTGGTGACACAGCAAGTGTCTGTCTTGAAAGTTCACTTAACATGCAGAACATGGGCAGCACATACTTCTTGTGGTTTTTTTCCATTTCATTGTGAACAAGAGGGAGAGCTTTGAAAACTAATGAGTACAATAACAATTCACACATTTAAGGAGGAGGAATCTCCACTTCTCCCACTTCTAGTACCTTGGTGGCCCACACCTATGTATTCCATATGGCAAGAGCATAAGGCTGATAATCTACTGCAGTAAAGAAATTTTTAAGATGTCCTTGTACATTATTCTTGCCAAAGAATGGCTGTAAAAGTGAGCTCATTTTTTTCATGTTTGAAAGGGACACTGGTAAGAGACAAAAAGGAGTTAGTCTGCTCATCTTGTACTTTATCTAAGTTTACAGTGAGGCCAGATTAACTGGTCAGTGTTTCCCTCTGTGAGCTCCCTTTCGTTCAATATGATGTATGGAAATGGCTCACACAGAACATCAGCGAGAAATAAGTGTGGATATACTTGATACAGAATCATAGAATGTTAAGGGTTGGAAGTGACATTAAAGATCATCTAGCTCCAAACCCTCTGCCATGGGTGGGGACACCTCTCACCATTAATTCAGCTAAGCCTGAGGACAGTCATTCCCATAGTATGACACTCAGCAGTTGAGAAGAGTACTAAAAAATACTGAAAACTAGCAAGGAAGGTGATTATTTTAAATATGCATCATGAAATCATGTGTCTCTGGGTGCTGCAATCTTGCTGCAACTTCTGTTTCAGCTTCTGGGATAGTCCAAGTTTAACCCCTTCTTTTCCCCTCTCTCTCTTTCTGAAGAGATGTTGATGTCACTGAAATCACTGTGGAGAAAACAACCAAATATCAGCTCCTTAATTCTTTTGAGGGCTAAGGCTGACCCACACCACATGCAAGCTTCCCCTCAGCCACTTCAAGCCACAGAAAGGAGGAAGAAAACCAGCTCAAACAAAATGCTC